CATTAACTCTAGTTGAGGATTCAAAACACTAGTTGGGGATTCAATTCGGCCATTGAGAAAACGTTTTGGTGGAACACATAATCAGATAGTCTTCAGTTTTTCCTTTTTTTTTTTTTTTTTTTGGTGGGGTTTTTCCCTTTCGGGCGTTAATTTTTTCAATTATTTAAGTCCTAAAAGCTCTCTCCTCTAAAAGAATTTGAGACTGTGAAGAATTGTTTGACTTGAGATTTGTGTGTGTGTGTTTAACTAGGATAATCAGAAAAAAGCCCCAAAGGAAGAAATACTGAATGTATTTGTGGAAAGAATGGAGAAGAAGGGAGAAACAGCTCATTATTATTCTTTTATTATGCCTTCCAAACAATTGCAGCTTGGATGTTATAGACAGCAGCTCAGGAAGTATGGCCCAGCCCTCTGTCCTTGGACAAGTGAGCCCAATACCCAGATTTTTATTTATTTATTTTTGGAGAGGTTTTTCGCTATAGGGCCCGTGCGCTCGCCAGACAGAGAGAGACAGACAGAGAGACAGAAAACAAGAAATCACCCCCCAGGGGGGATGGTCATGCCGCAAGCAATCCCTTCTCCTCCGTTCTCCTCTCGGGATCTTGGGCACGCATGCACACGCGCCCGGCGTGAATTTTAAGCCACCAGTCCCAGACGTGAACCATGGTCGACTACGTGGGAGTCCAGCAACATAGCCATTACGCTGACTGCTGGTCCCCTCGATTTTTCCTTTTAAGCAGAATCAAAATTAAATGTGGGACTTGGAGAGGCCACACAGGAGGAATATTCAGTCTAAACAATTTTGTTGCTCTTTGATTACTTCAAAAAATTAGCTATCCTGACTAAAAAGATCGGGGAGAAAAGTGTTTTTTTTTTCCTGAAGGTTTGTACTATTAGACTTAGTCCCAGATTTCTTACTGATTGTCTTATCCCAATTAATATATTCATATATAAACAATAAATTGCAAAAAGTAGGGAAAAAATGGTTGGCTCCAGAAATACTGACAAGAAGGGATCACTGTGAGTGAAGAAATTAAAAATTAGAAAAAGTAGAGATAAGAACACAGAAATACAAATTGTGTAAACACCTAGTTTCCCTAAGTGAAATAGTTTCTTTCTCAATAATGTTGGCATTTTCTAAATAAATGAACAAAAGTCACAATTACAATCTTTGGTTTATAAAGCATTTTTGTGTTCCTTATCTAAAAATCAATGAGCTCCCTGTTCAACAACAACAACAAAAAAATACATTCTCTTTGACATCTAATCCCATAACATGTGGGCCAATTTTTCATTGTTGCAACAATTAGTTTGTTGTACTATGTGAAGATTTTTGTCACATATTAGAAAACGGCAGATCGCTCCCATGGGTTAACTTCTTCCCAATCATTTAGATTTGGAATAGAATTACTCCATTTCACAGACCCAATTTACTAACACCCTGCGTGTTCCTATGATGGATCTCTTTAAGAGACAATTCTGGAGCCTCAATAATAATAGAATTCCAACTCTGCTTCAAAGTTGCCAAATATTCAACAGACTCACCTTTACCTAAATGTTATACTTGTCTTCCAGCTTCCAACTCCATTTTATTCTCTCCCACCTGCTTGTGAAGATAGGCATTACTCATAATCCTAAATGCCATTGTAAAGCAATTGTATATGAGTGGAAGCTTAGTTTGGCGCCATCAGAGAAAGAAATGAATAAAACAAGACTGAAATTTTAGTAAATGGCCTTTGAAAAGCAAATAGGACATAAAACGACTAATACCAATTGCTAAATTAATTTCTCAGCCCTGCCATGAGGCTACCAAATCCATGAGGCTATTTAAATGCAAACCAGTCAAGAGAGGTTTGGTTCTGAAAGCACTCAAGACATAGATGCTTGAGAAATATTTGGAGATGCCAGAACTGCACTCACAGTGGAGAATATCACACACCTGCAGATTGTGCTTTGCTCTGGCCCTGAATAATCTGGGTCAGCTGCCCCAGTGGGTGACCTCATAATTAGGCAGCTCTGCACTCTCTAGTTGCTTCACCTAAGAAAACCTGAAGCTTTGAGGATGACTGAGCAGCAGCTCCCCTCCCCAGAAACACTTGTGTGGTGCACCAGGAGTGGTTTTAAATGGTGGAGATAATTACTTAATTCAAGCTGTAGCAACTGGCCAAGTAAACAAGTAGCAGCCAGGAAGCTATTAGCATGATTTTAAGGCAATTATTCCATTAGTGTTTAATAGTCTCCAATTAGTCTTCTCTATCAAAGTTTGAATGTCTTTTTTTCTTCCAAAAATTCTCAGTGCTGAGTAATACAAAAAGGAACCAAACTGATTTTTTTAGAAGTGTTTTTTTGTTTGTTTGTTTTGCCTTAGGCACGTGTGGTCACCAACAGAGAAAGAGACAGAGACAGTGAGAAGGAAAGTGGAAATCACCAACCGGGGAGGGTGGCCATGCCACAATTCCTTTTCCTTCATTCTCTTCCCGTGATCTTGGGCATGCATGCACATGTGCCTGGCATGAGTTTCGAGTCACCAGGTCCGGGACTCAAACCACAGTTTGCCATGTGGGAGTCCAGTGATGTAACCGCTATGCCATCTGCTGGCCCCGAAACCAAACTCATTTTAAAACATGGTTACATGTATGGATCTACCAAGCCTACACTACAGAATCATGGCAATTTTGGGGAATGTATATTTGGTGAAATATGTTCTGAGTGTCTGTGTTTTTTAAGAAGTACAGGTTGAGAATGGGAGGTTTTTCAGATGTTGGGAAAGCGATGGAAATTCCTGTAGCATCTGATACCATCGTCTTTTTATCTCTACTCTAAAATCACCAGAACATCAAAATCTCTAACCTCAGGGTTTCTCTTTGTCCCAAGGGAAGAAAATAAATTTTTCTCTGATCCTGCTATTACCTAGTTCCTTACCTTCTTGCCCTGGTTAGTACTCGTTGCTGATGACTCATACGGATACAAATCCTAAAGCCTTTCCCTCCAAAATTCCTAGATCTTCCCAAGTTTAGAGGTTGGGTCACTGAATTATAGTAAGTTGTCTGCCATCAATGAGCTTCAGTTTTGTTCAGCTATGAAATGGGGATAATAATAATAGCAATGACTGCTTCATGGGGTTTTGGGAAGGATTAAATGAGCTGACATATAAAACATTGCTTTAAAAAGTGAAGCATTATAGAAATGTGGAGGAGATTCAGACTTGCTATTATACTATCCCTCAGAACAGCTATGCAGACTTAGGTTTTAACCTGCATCTCCAGAGAGTCACCTATCAGAAGGCTAGCACCGAAAGGCCTTCTTACCTTCTATGTGTCCAGACATACTCAGGTGTGACCAGGTGAAAGCAACTGTCTAAAAACCAAATAATAATGAAAGCAGAAAAGGGACGGGAACACTTGTGAAGTGAGAGTGGCATTGTGCCAACAAAGTGGTGTACTTTCTACCTTCTCTTTCAAAAGAGCAACCACCAGGCTCACCCAGGTAGCAGCGGAGTGTGGAACGGAGAAGCTGAGTTATTCTTTTCCTTAGAGACATGGGGGCCCTTGGGAAACTAACTGTTGAAAACGCACAAAAGGAGACAACCCCTTTTAGAGGCTCCTGTCAACAGGGCAGCCTACCCCTGCCCTAGCCTCTAAACATCCACTTGACTAGCAACCATTGACTGGAGTTACCAATCAATGTCAGCACTGTTGGTTGAAGCCTTTTGAGGTTTTTCAAATGAACATGTTCTGGTTTTTGGTTTGGCTTTGGATTTTTTTTTCTTCTTTCTTTTAATTGTTTTCTTTCTTACCATTTCCCCCAGTGACTGAGAGGGGGCGCTGGATGGGGCCGATCTAGAGGAGGTAGACCAAGAGCTTGAACCTACTCACCCAGCTCAGCTCTGAGCAGCGGATGGGGGAGACTATACATCTGCAATCTACCCTCCATCCAGCCAGGTCTCAAGCCCTGGTGCACAGCCAAATTGGTAACGAAGTAAGGCCGTGCGTCCCCAGCAGTCGTTGTCGTAAACTGTCCTGAGACGACCCTCTTTCCTGGATACCTGAGCCCGGGCTGCTGAGCTCTTCTGTCCCAGAAACCAGCCCAGTCTTTGGGTCCCAGGCGCGCGCGCCATACTGAAGCCTCTTGATCTCTCCCGTCTTTTTCTCGTTTTGTCCTCACTTGCTTCCTTCCAGGATGACTGGACACTGTCTCCACCAGCTCTTCCGTACTACATGCCTGTTATCCCACCCCTCCTGCGGTGCTCACACAGGTACCCTGCCTGTCTTCTGTCCGGAACAGCAAACGCGCGACCCCAGCGCTACACGTTGCAAACAGGGACTTGGACCAGAATCCAAACGGTGGCCACTCGGCCAGGCCCTCGGGGTCCGCGCAATCGACGTCCTATGCTCCTCGCCCCCTTCGGCTTCCTGTCAAGGGCAGCGATCACGCCGCCGCCGGTCCCTGAACTTTCATCACTCTTCGGGAAGCGCTTTGTCTCTTTGAAGGAGACTGGGGACGAATATTAATGAGTCGGGTAGGTTCTAACCGAGAATTCGCCAGATCCGTTCAGTCCCTCGCCAAGGAGCGACCCGAGGTCCACGCGCCAGAGTCGAGCCCCTAGAACACCAGCTTGCGCTCACAGCGCACCGTCACCCCATAGACCCAGAAATAGCCCCCGCTCTCCAAATCTGCAGGGGCGACCATGGGAGGGGACCCGAGGAGCCATCCTGGAGCCCAGCTTCTCCCCTGCCCCAGTCCTGCGCATACAGCCTGCTTCAAAAGCCCGAGAGGGAGACAGTAACCTTGACTCCGGGCGCCTCGGTCCCCAGAGGTTTGGAAAACGCCAGTAAGACCGAGGCTGCCAGGCACGCGCTCTCTTGGCCCGAGACGCACCCCTAAAGACGAGTTTCCCTCCCGCCCGCATCGCGACAAGTTGCCACTTAGTGGCAGAAAAGGCAGGGCGGGGCAGGGGAAGCGGGCGCCGAGCGCCCGGCCGGCAGCCTCGGTGCGCCTACCTGGGATGGCTAAATTGGTGAGGGGGATGCTGTGGATGCTCTCCGGCAGAGTTGCCATCCAGTCGGCGAATTTCAGCTCGTTTTTCCCCTGAGACGAGGCCATCGTGCCGGTCGGCGTGCCGCGCGCTGGTCCCCGCACTCTCGGGAAAGGCTGGCAGGCTGCTGCCGCTAATCCGTGTGTGCTACAGCCCCGCCAGAGTTTACACTCCGCTGTGCGCCACACCCACAGGATGGCGCAGACACATGCTAATTTTAATAATTATTCAAAACACCCCATGCTCCCTTAGTGCCTCCGCCAGACTCCGCCAGAGCTTTTGTTCCTGACGTCCGTGCTCGTCTCTGCGCTCACCCTCCTTCCCCCTCCACCGCCCTCCTGGCGTCTTAGGCTTCCTAGGCATCTCTGCCTGTCCTCGCCATGCTGCAGCTTTCCTTGGCCTCTCCTTATTATTCCCACATTATCGTCATTTTTCTTAACTTGGTTCACCCAACTGCGTAACCAATGGTCTTGCTCGGCCCTTTGCTGTGATGTTCTGGTCCTGTCTGTGTAAAAGACAGTCTCGCTGTTGAACCTACAATCCTAGTAGACTTTGGGATGTTATTGCCTCCTGAAGAGCAGACGCTCATGCTGGCTGTCAGGACTGCCCATTGTCACCAAAGAGCTTTCCTTTTTGTGAGCTACAACAGGTTATGCTTTTCCTCACCGGAGCCCACAGCCCTGCTTATAACAAAATGGTGGTCTTTATTCACCACGTTGTCGGATTTTGAAACAGCTGGTGAGATGTTAGAGAAGGGCAGTAAGTTCTAGGTGTTTGCTACTTAATCCCTGGTATCCTCCAAACCTTTCCATGTAAAAAGCACCCTGCCCCTTCATTTCCCAGTTCATGAGAAATCTATTTCTATGGAGAAAGCTGCTTCTGTTCTGGCCTCAGTTGCAGGTAGTCAGGGCAAGATTGAAGCCTGATTCTGGAGAAAGTCACCACACCTCCCAGTGATGGACTGTCATTGTCACCAGCAGCATATGGTGGAATGTATTTGGCTCCATTCAAAGTGATCCATGTGATTGGATTTTTTTCTCTTTTTTTGGCAGACTAGAGAGATGTTCCTGTTTGAGAGAGAAATCACTCTTTGAGCTCCTAAAGAACCGTCTGGGTCCACCTGCTCTAGGATGCGAAGGAAGAGCAAGAGTAACTCTTACAGAGTGGAGAGAGCAGCGGTGGCCTCAGTAGAGATGTGTATAAGGGATGAGCTGAGAAGCCCTGGGTCTTTGCAATCCGGAGAGTGGAGAGACAATAAAGGTACCTCTGCTCTTTCATCCCGAGGTTTGTGAATCCTTTTATTTTTTCTGAAGGGAATGCTATTAGGTTAGGAAAATGAAAATCAAGGTAGGAGAGTTCTCTGAAAATTAGAATAATCATTTCAGTTTGCATGCCATTTAATATTAAATCCATTTAAAAGAAGGGGAAAAAAACACTCAGAGCCTTAGTATTTTGTTCCAAAATTCTGAGTCCAAAGAATATTCACCCCCAAATGGGAAGCACTGCAGGAAAGATGGAGAGAAGAGAGAGGATGCCTTATCTCTGTGGTGAGATTTTTCATTCTCTCATAGAATAAATTTATGCCTTCCCAAGAACATGACCGAGTTATCTTTAGGGATGAGAATGAGATATAATAGATCTTTTCCCAAATAAACATTAATATTCAAGACAAGGCTGCAGAATGAAATGCACATATCCTTTTAATTTGGATGAGAACTCAACTCCCTATTGTATTCTTAGTCAAGAGACCTACAGACACCACCTCTGGCTAACACTGGTGCCCTCGCAGCAACAATTCAGGGCAACAAGGAAAGTTCGGATCCGGAAGATCCAGAAGTCAGATGCTTTTTTTCTGAGTAGTTCAAGCAAGTCCTCTAGTCTCTGCCAGCCCTGGTTTTCTCCATTATAAAGTGGTAGCAGTAACTCAGAAATTTGTGGCAAACCTTCTAGGAGAGAATATATATTTATTAAGATAATGAATTTCGTGTATATATTTTCCTTTTTTATTCCCTTGTTTTCCCCCTTTTTTCATCCTTACAAAGTATTCTTTCTCAACCTCACCAGTGCCTGCCTGGGAGCCAGTGGTTTTCGAAGCACCTGGTATCCAGTGAGACACACCAGATACCAACAGGACGAACATGGGCAGAGTGATGGTGGTCAGGTCTGGTCTGGGGCTGCTGCTACTGGCACTGCTCCTACCCATGCAGATTTATTCAACTCAAACAACAGTTGTAACACTTTCAAGTAACTCCTCCCAGAATACCTTGACTGCTCCAAATCCAGGTAATGCCACCACCAAGGTCACTGGTAGTACCCTGCAGTCAACAGCCAGTCTCTGTGTGATCTCATTTTCTCTCCTACATCTATACTCTTAGGGAGATTCACGCTGGGGCCAGCAGGTGGCATAGTGGTTAAGGGCACTATACTCCCACATGGCCAACTACAGTTCAAGTCCCAGATCTGGCAGCTTTCTCTCTCTCTTTCTGTACTTCTGTGGTCAAAATAAAATAAATAAGTGAATAAAGTTGAATAAAATAATTCCAAAAAGAAAAAAAGAGAGATACTCAGGTCAAGAAATATCTACACTTCTCCATCTTCTCTACCCAATCTAAATGGCATCTAGAAGTCCAGTATGGCAAGGAAAACAAAACAAAACAAACAAACAAAAACCAAACAAACAAAAAACAAGTCTGCATCAAATCTTCTAATTCCACACCTTTTTTTTTTTTTTTTTTTGAGAGGTTTTTTGCTATAGGGCGCGTGCGCTTGCCAGGCAGACAGAGAGAGACAGAAAGATAGAAAGCGAGAAATCACCCCCAGGGGGGATGGCCACGCTGCAATCCCTTCTCCTCCATTGTCCTCTTGGGGTCTTGGGCACGCACACACACGCGCCCGAAGTCCACACCTTATTTTATTGACATAGAAAATGTTGCGAATCCTGAATTTGATTAGTTGAAGAACACGTGAAGGACTTGACCAGATGATGAATGCCAATATTAAACCTGCTGGAGTTTTGTGTACAGGATGAAGAGACAACACTTGAAATTAGTTAAGACATGATTTCCTTGAATGTGGCTTAAGAAAAATGGACATGGAAACTCTACCTTGAAACTAAGAATAGATAATTACCTCATCCAGAGATAAAGAACGAGATATAGAATGGAAATTTAGTTTCATTTGGTTCATTAAATCTATAAGGCCATAAAACAATGAGGTAATAGGGAAAGTGTCCATGATTCTGTTTATAGGTACATTAGAAGGAGCTTCCAGGTGTTACTGTAAATTCTCAACGTATTATTTCAGCACTACTCAATTAACGGCGATATACTCTACCTACAGGGATATTTCATGTTGTAAAGCTATCACTATTTTCTGGGGAACTGAACTCTTTTCCTCTGAGGCTTTGCGTTTGACATTGCATTTGATCATTTATGTAGTCATTGAGATGTATCAGGGTAATGATGGATTGAAAACTACCCCCAAATCCAAGCATATTGAGTGAATTTGCTTAACCTTATAAAATCAAATGGTAGGCATCTTCCATTACCTGTTTTTATGGTATGAGAGCACCAGATTCACTTAGTTAAACTGTTTTTTTTTTATTTAAACTATTTTCAAAGAATAGAATTGCCTTGACCTCAATTAATTTAGAAATGCTACATTTTATTTATAATTTTTTACTTTTACATTAAAAAAAGATGGGTTTCGAAGGTGGAATTACAAATCTTAAAATTAAAAAGGTAAATATGTGAAGGAGCCAAAACTGTAAATCAAGTATTTGGAAAGGGAAGAATTGAAGCTGACTTGCATAAAGTTCACAGAAACTTTTATATTTTTCTGTAAATACATTTTTTAAAAAAATCTATGGATTAGAATAGCCACATTTTGAACACTAACTGTTATCAGTCAGTATTTTTAGATAGTTAGAACCTCAAGCGGGCTTGATTCTGGAAAATAAATCTTTTACGACAGCCTCGACACAGAAACCTTTTTAAAAATACACTTCCCTGAAGGATTTTGTTCGCATGGTCACATACTGATGCTTAGGTTCTGTTCCAGTATCTGATATAGCCACAGTAGTCTTGATAACCAAAGTTGTTTTCCCTCATCTTTAGAAACCTACATGAGAAAAACCAGATTGAGCAGATCCCAAGCCACTGTGGGTATGAATGAGCACTCCCCTTTGCTTCATACCTGACTGCTTCATATCTATTTTGGATTGTATATTGTGGTTGTGTATTTATGATTTGATTATATAATGTGTGTGTGTGTGTGTGTATAAATATACACACATACATATCTATGTGTATATATAATCTTTTTAGAGAGAGAGAGATTTTTGCTACAGAGTACTTGTTGTCACTGGAGAGACAGAGAGAGAAAGAGAGAGAGAGAAAGAGAGAGGAGAGAGAGAGAGAGAGACAAAAAGCAAGAAACCACTCCCCGGGGAGGGAATGGCCATGCCACAATCCCTTCTCCATTCTCCTCTTAGAATTTTGGGTAGGCACGCATGTGTGCTTGTGTGCATGTGTGCACACACACCCAGCATGAGTTTTTAAGTTGCTAGGTCTGGGACTTGAACCACGGTTGACCATGGGAGTTCAGTGATGTAACCATTGTGCCATATGCTGATCCCTAAAAGTATATACTTTTAAAAACATGCCCTGTTCAAGTATATTGAGTATGTGTGTCCCTACGAGGTTATAAAATTGTTGCTGTTTTTTTGTTCTGTTTTAGTTTTAATAGAAGTACATCAAATGCCACAGAAAGTTCCCTTTCTGAAGTTCCCTCTGATCATGCATTACCTTTTGGTAAAGCAAGCACACAATCTTCTCTGCTTTGTCTTCTTCAAGTTTTAGACTTTCAACATACTGATTTAGTGTCAATCATTACCACCCTCTGCATGCAATCTACCAGAAAAGAAAAGATTGGAAGCTGATAGCTCTGGATTTCATTCTCAGCCGTGTAATCAATATTTAAGGCAATATTATGATCCAGTTTTCCCATCTATCACTAGCCCTGCTACTGTTTACTAAATGATATTTAAAACATTATATCATTTCCCTGGGCTTTAGTTTGGCCATGGTTTTAGTCAGAGTTCTTCGGAGAAATAGAGCTAGCAGTACACAGAAAGAGTAAGAGATTAATTTTAAGAAATTGGTTCACATGATTGGGAAAGCTGGTAAATCCAAAAATCTGCAAGGAAGGCCAGCAGGCTGGAAAATCAGGTAAGAGTTAATGTCGCACCCTTGAGATCAAAACTTGCAGGGCAGACAGGCCAGCAAGCTGTAAACTCAGGAAGGATTTCTAAGTTTCAGATTTGAGGCAGAATTGCTTCTTCTTATAGAAACTTTAGTGTTTGCTCTTAATGCCATGAACTGATTGGATGAGGCCCGCCCATATTACAACAGATAGTAACTCAAAATCAAATGGTTGTTGATGATTACATCTGCAAACGCCTTCACAGCAACATCTGGACTAGTGCTTGACCAAACAGTGGGGCATAATAACCCAGCCAAGTTGACACATAAAATAAAGCCTCACACCCACTGGCAAACTAAACTTGAAATTGCTTCCCATCTCTAGGGTGTCTTTTAACTGTTTTATATTTCTGTTTCCTTTACGATTCTTTCTCATAGATACAATCAATGGAAATAGCAAGAGAAGGAATGTAAGTATATAACGTAGATTTTAAGAAAAAAGGGATTTATTTATTTATTTAATTCTGTTTGTTTTTATTATTTATTTTTGTAATTTTGACCAGAGAGAGAGGGAAAGGAGAGAGACAGAGTGAGAGAGTAAGAGAGAAAGTGAGAAAGCAAGCCATCTGGTCCAGGATTTTAGCACCTTAACCACCATGCCACCTGCTGGCCTCATAACTTAGATTTTAATCCATGCAGACAACTTAAGGTATAGATCAACATTTTTGTCCTCATAACACAGATGAGGAAATATTGATGATTTTTTTTTGAGAGGTTTTCGCTATAGGGCGCATGCGCTCGCCAGCCAGACAGAGAGAGACAGAGAGACAGAAAGCGAGAAATCAACCCCCCAGGGGGGATGGTCACGCGGCAATCCCTTCTCCTCCATTCTCCTCTTGGGATCTTGGGCATGCACGCACATGCACCTGGCATGAGTTTTAAGCCACTGGGTCCGAGAGGCAAACTGCAGTCGACTACGTGGGAGTCCAGCAACAGAGCCATTATGCTAACTGCTGGTTCCCAATACCGATGATTTTTTAAATAGTTGTTTTTATTTAATTTAATTTATTTATTTTAAATTTTCAATGGGACACGTGCACTTACCAGTGAACGAGAGAGAGAGAGAGAAAGAGAGCGAGAGAAAGCAAGCCACCAGGTCCAGAACTCAAACTGAAGTCAGAGTGGAGACCTGTTTTCCAACCACCATGCCACCTGCTGGCCCCAATACTGAAGATTTGTAATTGTGGCACTGACAAAGTTAAATGACTTATTGCAGTGGCTTCAGGCAACTCTTAAAACCTTTTTATGCAATCCACTCTTGTGCATCAAATTCATGCTATACGGCATTTATAAACATTGTTCTTCATTTAGAACAATTCCTTACTTCATATCCTCTCCCACTCATAAAATGGCATGGCTCTTTACTATGTATTTTCTTTGATTAGTTCATACTCTTTATCAGAGGGCAGATGTGCTTCTCAGAGCGAGAAAGTGAGAAATTAACCATCTCCACCCCACACACAAGAGGAAAGGTCTCCCCAATTTCTCACTCCTTTCAGGATTCTGAGCATGCACATACACACGCCTAGCATGTTTTCCAATGTACCAGGTTTGTGACTCAAACCACACAGACAGCCACAGATTTAGTTGTCTTAACCATCGCACCTCTAACGGGCCCCATACTCTTTCTTAATTGTTGGATATATATGTGTTATTTTTAATTATATTCTGAAACAAAAATTATTATAGGTCAGAAAACATTAGAATGCATTTCAGTTAAGTACTATTTTTAAAAAGAAATGCTTAAAATTCAACCAAATTATTGAAGGGAAGTGTTAATAAATGCAATTTATAGTCAAACTTAAAGAAAATATAAACAAAAGAACAATGAAGACTTTGTAAAATTAATTATTTATATTAATAACCAATGCTTTTTAACCCATTCTCTATGATTTCTATCTAAATAGTCCATCTAACCCAGAAAACTTTACTATATTTAATGTTTTTGTAATTAAATTCAACAAAGATAAAAGTAACAACCTCCTCTTCTATCATTTTAATCCTGTGGAGTTTTCCATTTTATCACTCTTTTCCTCCCCTATATCTACACTAAGAAAGTAAGCCTCAAATAAGCTAATACTTTCTGAATAAAGTCTAGTGGCTGAAATTTCAAG